TAATGGTCATTCTCGGTTGGAAACATTCAACTAGGTCGGTATTTGTTATATCCCAAACTCTACAAATTGGTGGAAGGTTGACTACTTATTAGAGTTATCTTATTCATACAATATTTTTCTTGTAATTCTTTTTTCTCTTTCTATCACATTATTCATTTTATTACATGTACATTTTATTTTCTATTTTCTCCTTTTTACGTTACACAAAATTAATTTATAACAAACATTTCTCTAGCATACAAGGAGAAAAGTTGAGTCTAAAACGTTTCTCATGGGACCTTCTCACATTTAAATGCTCATTCTTCTAAACTATAAAAGAGGACCTGAACCTACCCAAATACACAGGCTCTTTGGTGATTAAAAACTATGTATGTGGGGAGGTCAACTCATAAGTTTAATTATCTGAAAGATAGTTAGACTTGAATTAATCAATCATAAAACACCAATGTGGAATGTTGAGTCAAAAGGGCCATGGCTGGAAGGTAATGCTTGGATGCTAATTCACAATGACAAGCACATTTTATAGCAACACGTTGTTGCATATTGCTAATTGGTGTTGCTATGAAATTTGAGACTAATATTTATTGGTCTTATCCTATGTCCGGCAATTTATAAAATCTATTAATACTAATTGATTCAACAAGCTATTATGGGATTCAAAATTTATCGTCTTTAGTAGCAATTATCATATTTCAATCGCTTGGTCCTATCATTTGATGTTGATATGTGTAGGAGAAGACCTCACTAACTTTTTCAATGCACTTGTGCGGTGGCCAGCAAATGTGACTATGCGTGGAGACGGGGGAATCTCAGTTTCATTTGAAGATGGATTTGGGCTTTTGATAGCTTCACGGGCTTCCTGCCACGACATCAAATATACTAAAAGTGTTAAATAAATGGATTCAATCAAACATAAATTGCGTTTGCCAATAATAAGTATAAAATGAAAAGGGAAAAAAAACTGAAAATCAAATGAACTAAAATTTGAATAAATTAAAAACAAATAATTATTTTTTATAGATAGAACCATATTCTAGATAGAGTTTTAAAATTAGTTGTATTCAATACTAATCAAACTTATATGCACGTATATAACTAGTATATCCATTGTATTTTTATAAGTATGTGTTTATAAAATTACAATATTATTTTTTTCAGTCTCTCATTTTTAAAATTATATGCACGTTTGTTTTATTGTTTGTCCCAATAAAAAATATTTTTCAAACAAAATTAACAATAGAAAAGAGTCTCACATTATTTTCAATGTAAAATTAATGAATGTGATAATTTATCAAATTTTCAATAATTGATTACGGTAGTTATTCAATTTGTAGTGCCATCACTCTCTGCAATAAATAAAATTAATTAACTAATTTTAAAAACAAAATATTAATTTAAAAGATAAAATAGACTAAATTTTTAAAAAAACAGAATGACAGTTTATTATTATCTAACCAAGCCAATATTATTAATTTTTTTTATAAGTGTATTAATTTAGTTAGATTGATTTATTTTAATCTCCTGTACTTTGTAGATATAAGTTTTATATCAAATAATGAGTTTAGATGAAGCGACATGCTTAAATTTGTAAAAGAAGTCGAATTTTTACTTGTATTAATTTTATGTTGTGAATATGTATTTGTATTTTAAGGAAACTTAACATTGCTTTTATCAGTGATTTATAAGATGGACTATACCGTGACTTATGATGAGATGTTAATACTTTAAATAAATTTTTATTACTTTTGTTATGTGTTTGATGTTTTATTTAACTCGTATTTTTGGGGGAAAAAAAGCAAAGCAAAAACAATAACTAATCCAATCAAGAGTATTGAATCAGATTTAATATTGTATCCAAACTAAACCACAATTTATTATGATTAAATCAGATAAATTTTTAGTTAAAAATCGATCGAAATCAAACTTCAATCAGTAACATCTATACGTTTCCCAGCGACTAAAAACACCTTACATATGTCAACAAAAAGAAATCCAATATACACGTGGCCAAATCCCAACCGTAAACAGCAACCTTACCTTAGCACAGTGGCGAGTCTTCATAAATGTTTTATGTTATGTTAGTTCATTTTCTCTTTCTTAATTTTAATGTTTTTGTCCTTAGTTCGTTTTCTCTCTCTTTTTTTGCTTTCGGTCAACATTACTACAGAAACAACTGGTTAGTTTTTTTTGTCCAACGGAAACAACTCGTTAAGATATGGAAACGTGAAATTGGTGCAGAAAAGAGACCCAGTAGAATATTTTTTGCAGAAAGGAATAGAAAGGGCGAATATATTGTGTTCCAAATATGGCCCAGCTCCAGAAAAGGTTCACTTGACAAAAATTTTAAAATGAAAATGAAAAGCCTCTTCTTGGGTCAGGAACACATAAAAATGTCTCTTCATCGGTCAAGAAGCCCATTCTTTTCATCGTCCAAGCCAGTTGTGCACTTTTAAACTCTTTGTTGACAAAAACAAAAAAACTTAGTCAATGATCTGGTCCAAAAATAAAAGTCAAAGATTATTTTTATAATTTTTTAACAAAAAATTTATTATTATTATTTTTAGACCAAAAAGGAGATTTGTTCTGTTCGATAAATTATGGCATGCTTGCTTAAGCTTTATATAAATAAAAAAAAGTGCGTGATATAACTTTTCTTATTTTATTTTTTGGATTTGATTTTTAAACTTCAATAACTACTAAAATAATTTTTTTGCAATTCTTTTTATTATTAAAAATCAACTCATATGCCAAGTTGTCTTAAAATATGCTTCGCAAAAAACTTATGCGTAGCTAATATTATTTTAAAGTTTAAATAGTATTTTAGTTTTTATACTTAATTCATATTTGTAAGTCAGTTTTACACATGTAAAAAATTGTGTAAATCATTACTTATATATACGTTTATTTTTTTATTTAATCCATATCATGAATGATGTTAGTCCCTATCCCGTCTTCACCTTCTCCTCCAACTCCTTCTACATCATCACTTATGCTTCGACTGCACACTTCTTATATTATTCAAAGAGACTTGGCGAACATGTGCCATCAACAACTCCATAAGGCCATGTTGAAGGATTTTTTTGGGTCAAGATCCAAATTTTTCTTAAGAATCATACACATAAAACCTTCCATGCTTAACATTTGCACTTGATGCCCTATTAAGAATGGTAAATTTAAGACAGCGACGACGACGCAAAGAGAGTTGAAACAGAAGGCAAAAAGGATAACAGAAATTAACGTTGTTTAGTTTAAATTTAATGGTACAGACTAAATAAAAATAAATATAATATATAAACTAATTTTACAATTTTTTATATATAAAAATTAAATTACAAACGTGGGATAAGTATATAACAAAATATTATTTAAACCCTATTTTAAAATAAACTTATGGAACTGCAATATTAGAAATGTGTGATTTCAAAGCATTATTATTCCAAACAACTTCCAACATAAGTTAATCAAATTTATTTACTTATTTCATTGTCACATGACTCACCTCCTTCAAAAAAAAAAAAAAAACTATTATGACAGTGACCCAAACTTTGTATTAACACTACTTCCGCACTATGTATATATATATATATTGGATAGAGCTTCAGAACTGAATCTGAAGAAATGAAATGCTGTCATAAATAATGACGTTAGGGTGAATACTCTTTTCATATTTTTTCTTTTCATATTTTTTATTTAATCATTATACACGTTAGGAAAGAGAGAAACTTACGTAATAGTATAGAGAATATTAGAGTAATAAATAAGAAATATAAACGACATATTAAGAAAATACAACTATTTTATGTATGTATAACTTTGAACAACCGGAAAAAAATGAGAGTAATACCTACTAATGGTGTCAGTTGAATTTAGATGTAGAACCTAACAATATATTTTTTTTAAAATGAGATCTTCGTTATTTTACAACCAACTATTCGATTCGTAGGACGTTTCATTGTATAAACTAATGAATTCATTAGATGTAAATGTTTATTCAAAATTATTACCTTATGCCACTTTTAGTTTGATTAACATTAATGCACTACTTGACGGACGTGGTACAAAACCACCAAATTAAAAGGGTAACATTCCAATTTTGGGGGACGAAGGGGTGTTTGGGAGAAGAAAAAGGAAAATAACTAGCGTGTTGGGCATAAAATTTACTAAAACAGGTAGTTTCCTATTGTGCATAACTTAAATGCATGCATTTGAATAATCATTTTAGGTTCTAGAGCCATAAAACTCAATAATTAAACCATAGGCTTTATTTTTAACCACACTCGATTTTTTGTCTACACTTCTATCTCTTTGGTATTTTAGTAGGTATTCCAATATTGTCTACATAATAGACCACAATGATCAGCCGCGTGGAGTTCTATGTCATCATCACCCAAGCCCTCAACATTAATATTTTGCATTCTGAATGCAAAATTTTCTCAAATTTAACAATCGAAAAAGATAATTAAACTAATTTTCCCAACTAATAATAATAATGAAATCCAAAATATTAAAAATTTCATTAGAAATATTGGAAATTCTTCACAGATATTCTATCAGTGTTTCGTATTTAAATACTCATCAGAGCAAGCGAAAGTAGCTTTCGGAAATCTCGGACCACATCCAAATGTAGCCAATGAGGAGGAAATAAAAAAAATTTACTTAGCCAATATAGGAAGTGGGTGAAACAGTAGCATAACGTTGCTGCTCGAACAAGGATATGATCTGACGTAAACTCTAAAGCTTGCCTTCTAGTTTTGGAAAATTATTTGTTGTTATTTACTTTTTGGGTGTAAAGTGTATGAAAGGAAGAGAAAAATAAAAATGATTAATGATGTGATAAAAAAAAAAGTAAAAAATAAATGTTAGAAAAAGTAATGTAAATACATGTCAATTCTATTCTTTTTAAACCTTAAAAGAGGACATGTTCTTGCTCTCCCAACTCAAATATCTTCCAACTATATAATGGCCTCTTGGGCTAGCCAATATCTCACAGAATAACCAAAACCCAAATTGCAATTCCACCCAAAACCATTGTTAATTCTTCTCACAAACACAATGGTATCAATCTTTCGCCAATACACATTCGATGACTCATTCGAACAAGTGTTCGTGTCGAGCAAATTTCTGAAGGAATACCAAATTGCTCTAACTTTCGCGACAGACTACGACGAGAACCATGATCCCACAAACGGGGTGTTCCTACCCACGTGGGATCAAACCAAAGTAACACCCGAATCAATCATACGGTTCAAGGAGGAACATCCCGACGTAAAAGTCAAAGTGTTCGTGAGCATTGGAAACCGGAGCACCCAATTTCCCTTCAAACCCCAAGACAACAATTCATGGATCGCCAATGCCACCAAATCGCTCACCAAAATCATAAAAAGCGAAGACTACAATCTTCAAGTTGATGGCATCGACGTGTTGTACGAACAAATCGATGCCTCACCCAGTGACTTCGTAGAGTGCGTTGGGAACCTTATAAAGAACCTTAAGGAAAGTGGGGTGGTGAGAGAAGCTTCCATTTCTCCATCTTTTTCTCTCAACAAAGACTTTTACTCGTGCTTGTACAGGGGTTTCTCGTTCTTCATTGATTGGGTGGATTACCAGTTCCAAAATGAGGTTACTTCTGTGTTCGAACCCAATAACTTGGTGGAACGGTACAGTGAACTAGTGAAGAATGATTATCCAAGAAGGAAATTGTTTGTTGGATACAGTGCGGAGAACGAGGACTGGGCTACGTTGTCACCCATTGTGTTCTTTCTGGGTGGCATGGACATTCTCAAGAAGAAAAGAGGTGTTGGTGTTTCCATTCATTACCATAATTACTATGCTGAAGCTCCCCCTAAGGAATGAATGACACATCATGCCAAAATATTGACGCAGTCATGCTGAAGTACTCCACTACTATATATATAAAAAATAAAGAATAATGCCATTCATATATATAATATACTTCTATGATAACTTCTATATATATAGTTTTCTTCAATCTCATTGGCACGTTATTTATTTTATCCCACATTTATGTTTCTTTTTCTTCTTCTTATCTTGTGTGTAAATTATTGAAAATATCTGGCGTGTAAATATCATTTCTCTAACACAAAATATTATCGTCATTTAAGTATGGCTCGTGGGTGGTAATAAAATATGCTGGTCAATTTGTTCCTCTGTTGTTGTTTCTTCGATCCTTTACACAATAGCGGGGAATTTAATAATTTCAATTAATAATCAACAGATAGCAGTAAACTTACTTTTTAATTGCGTATTAGTTTTTAATTGGACGAATAAAACAGCATACGGGAAGTGAAATTAGTGATTTCAATCCTTTGTAACGAAGCAATCACTTTAATTGTTAAAAACATTTTGTATATAATAACGTGGGGTAGGGTTTAAAGACTAATAATGTTAAAAAGATCAGCAAAACATGCAAATTTGTCTTAAAAAGATATTGATAGGGTATGCATGCTTGCTTAATTTAGATTTATTTTAAAGTATATTTAAATTTTTTTTTAAAGTATAATTGAGGGATCAACAGCAAAATAATACTATCTCCGATCCTTTTTATAAGAAATAAAATAAAATATTTTTATTGTTCTTAATATAAGAAACAAATGATAGACTAAAAATGCATTAATTGTTAAAAAAAATTTATACTTTTTTTTATTAATATTATTAAATATATAAATTACTAATTAAACTATTTAATATCATGAGTATTCTTAAAATAAAATTTATATTTATAAAAAACATAACTGACTTAATTACTTTTCTTAGTCATGATAATTTAGTTTTTTGTTTCTTATAAAAAATATAATAACAACAATATTAAAATGTTGATTAAATAATAAATTTATAATACATTTTTTGACCTATTCTCACTCTACTCATTGTAATTTTAAAGATTTAAATTAATATGAATTAAGTTATATTGTTATATTTTTATATTAGCGAGATTAACTTGTACAATAAAATTAATTAATGATTATTAATGGAGGTTGATCTGAGTAACAAGTGATTCGATATCTTTTAAATAAAGTTTTGAGTTTGAATTTTTTATATATAAAAAATTTTTAGTAATAAATTTATCATCACATCTAAAAAAAATTAATGATTATTTACAATAATTGAAAATAACAAAATAAAATAAAATAATATTTAATTTCATAATTTAAATTATTTAAATAAAATAAGATACATTTTATTTTATTTTCTTTAATATATTTTCTTTTATCTATTTAATTTAAGACATAGAAAAATATTTTCCATCTTAAAAACAATTAAATAATAAAACTATAATTTCATTCTATTTACCGTTGGATACTCAACTATTTCTTCTCACATTACGGTTTAGATGTCCAAACGTAGTCAAATTCTGGGTATTATTGCTGACCAAGAGCCTTCCCTTCGCTACTACAAAATGGAGCTAGTTTTGAAAAAAGAATAAAAAAATCAATGTTTTGCTGCATTTTCTTCCAACCATAATTGCGTATTGAACAGAGTTTTCATCCAATTTGGAAAAGAATTTTGGTTTAAAGATTCATAGTATGTTTATTTTCCTATTTAAAAAAGAGAAGCAAACGTACTCTCAGTCTGTAATCCTCGCAATGGGAGTCAAATCAACAAATTTTATCAAATTATAGAAAAATATGGTTAATATCTTCCCATTGGTTGCAACATGGGAGTACAACTTAGTAGGGAATATAAATCCGAGACTATAATTGAAGGTTGTAGGAACAGGCATGGCATTCTCGACTAATCTCCAAAGGTTATGCATGACTATCTATAATATTAATTTCCAACATTTAAACTAACTGCATTTAGACAATGGTGATTGGTGAAGAAAAGAGCTTTTTACTTTTTGGCCAATTGAAGAAGAGCTAAACTTGCAAATATAATATTTCCAATTAAAATTACGAGTAGATGTTGGATTCGAGCCCAAATCCAGCTGTCTATGGGTCGTACAGCCCAAATCGAGAATGAACTAAATTATCTATCCAATAATGTGAAGATTATCATGGCAATATATATATATATATATATATATATATATATATATATATATATATATATATATAATGTGAAGATTATATAGAATGAAGTCATCAATCGTAGAAATGAAGGTGTCTCTCGAGCTATTGCCAACGGTGGCAAAATCTCAAGAGAATGACATTCCCAATTTCCCAGCCGTACACATGAATTGGATGGAAATACGAAAAAAAACAAGAAAAAAAGATATGATTTATAATGCAATAGAAAAGAGAAAAAAATAAAATATAATATAATATAATTTAAAATCTTTGACTGTTGATCTGTTAGTGAGGTTCTGTATGTCCGTGACATGTCCTCTTCCCATTTGACCAACGATAAAGCCAGCCTTTCTTTTCATTGCTGATTTTTTAAAATTATTATAGAAAAGCACATATTATAGAAAATCATTGGGGGTGAGTTCTATAAAGGAAATAGATCCTCACAACTGGCACGCACTGCTTACTCTAAGAATAGGCCCAACCTTGCCCCTTTGAAGATAAATGGGGTTGCGTCCCAAAATTAAATATACCCTGGATGCCTTTTATCAATGATCTTACTCAAATAATGCATTGGTTCTTGTCGGTGCTGATAACCGATGAGTGCCAAGGAAAAATAACTAAAAGGTAAATAATTAAAGATCATATTTACCAAATTTGAAAATCTAGTTTCGTCTAATCATAAATCAACTATTTATTTAGGGACATATCAAGTTTTTTACGTCAACATATTTTTAAACTAAACAGTCACGCGTGGACATTTATTTAAAAGTTTACAATATAATATTAATTGAAAGTGTTTAATGTTAAAGAAATATTTAGTGTCATTATTTTATTTGAAACTTAATGACAAAAATATAATAAATTTCATCTAATATCTGTCCTCTACCTAGATGCTACAGTATAAAAAGTTGTAAAATATATTTATAAATTTATATAAACTTTTCGTAATGCAAGGGGAGTTCTGAGTGACATAGGAATAGTCCAAAAAAAAGAGCCAGTTGTGAATCTTCTAAAGAATAACATGCCGAAAAATTACTGTTTATTGGCAAAATGATAAAGTCAAATGTAATTCCAATATTGAATATCAAGAGTACACAATTTGCTTACACATATTGAATATAACAACCATTAAAGGCATGCACTAAAATATTAAAATTGATCTTAAATATACAGACTTAAAATTTAATTGGGAGTAGCCAAAAGGGCTTGTGATTGCTTCTCATAGCGGAAACCATTTGCCTTGGAGTCATCAGCTGACCACACAAAGATACCATAAAGTTTCTGCTTAGTCTGGAGCGTACGACATGCATTGAAGAACCCATTATCAGGGATCAATCCACCATTCTCATCACTAATGAAACTTACTAAGACTTTCCCACCATTATAATTTGAGCTTTGTTTATTGAAGTAATTGATAAATTGAGACACGGTAGTACCTTTGTCATACGCATAAAATTGAAAATTGACATAATCTATGAGGTGCCCATAATTCTTCCACAAAGCCATGTAGTGACTCTGAACTTGATCATCATCAAAAGGAGCAATAGAAGCAAAAGTGATGACCCTGCTGCTTTTGAGGGTTTTGATTAGCAATCCAATGCTCTTAGCAAAAGTGTCTGGATCTGCCTTGAAATGCTCATAGTCAATGTCAATTCCATCTAAATTGTACTCCTTGATTATTTTGGTGAGTGAAGAAACCGCGTTGGAAACCCATGAATCAACTGAAGATGGATCAAAGTAAGCAAATATACTTCCCACAGTGTCTCCTCCTAGACTAAGGGCTACCTGAACATTTGAATGGTTTCGCTTGATGGAAGAAACTTGAGAAGGGCTAAGATTTTTGGTGTCCCAAAAGATGTTAAATTTTCCATTGGTAGGAGAAGGAGAAGTTGAAGTGTCGTAGTCAATAGCAAAGGACAAAATGAAGTGGAAATTAACATTTGGGTTAACGGGCACATCCGAAAATTTGACACCTTTGAACTCAGCTCCAATGTATTCTCGAAATAAGTTTGAGTTTGAGGCAGCTACTCCAACTTGGGTTGATGCAAGGAGAAAGAAGAAAGAAGCGTTTAGGATTAAAATGGCAAAACAATGCTCAAGTGTGGAAATTTTCATTGTGAATTCACTTTAAAAAGCTAGATTCAGCACAACTGCTACAATAAAGAGTAATTGAGTGATGCACAAAGATACTCTTAAAACGATACTGAAGATAGAGAAGATATGGAGTAAGAATGGTGATGCAAGGAGATGATTGGTTGCCTGCCATTCCTCGATGCCCATGCTTTATTTATTCTACTCCCTATTTACAAATATCAAGCTTTCAACCATTGACTATCAAACTTGACCTTTCCTTTTCCATGGGCAACCAAATCATTATATATAGCCTGTGTTGAATACTATTTTGTCGTCTTAGAAGTAATTCACACCACCCACACGTGCCTGCCAGAGTTGATTTTCACTTTCATTTTCATGGGTTTTCAATCAAGAAGTAAAAATGTGATTATATGTAAATGAATTTATTTTATATAATAGCTTATAATCAAAATTTTAGTGAAATAAATTTATAAATCTTTTACCTAAAAATTAAGCAAATTCCAATATGCCCTTTGAATAATGGATAAAACAGTATTATTGGTTACCTTTTGATATTAATATTGCAATCATACAATTTTAATATTGCAACTAATCACATTGACTATGTTAACTTAAGATTGAGCTTTAAAGTGTTTTTTGACCCAAAAACATTCTCTATTTTGGAATGAAATATCACCCCTTCCTCCTAAAATCTGTTACGTTACACTCTTTCCTATTGAAATTTAGCTAGTAGAAATTTTGGTTTTTATGCTTGGGAGGGAAAGAAGGGTAATCTTTGCAGGTAAAACATCTCAATCTTAATTATCTTCGAAGACAGCATTTCAAATCTTAATTGACCAGTTCTTAATAGTTTTAAACTTTAATGAGAAACCTTTTTCTGGAAGATAAAGTCACTTGAGAGTGAATATTGATATGTCAAATTTGCAATGCCTCACCACCATTCTTGTGGAAGATAAAGTCATATTGATGTATTTGCAAACCTAAAAAAGTTACGATTTTTCATTTTAGCATTTATAATTTTTTTAATTTTAGTCTCTACATTAAATAAAAAATCTGATTTTGGATTTTACTAAACACTAAAACTGTATGTTTTTGTATTTTGGTGAACCTGTCACTCTTTACAAACTATTCCCAAATGAAGGCCCAAATTGAATAAAGGGGAAAAAAGATATTGCAGGCAAGAAATAAAAAGGGCCGCATGTGCGGGCTCTGGGGCGGTTCAACCCAAAGCAGAATTATAATATTTGTGAGTGTGAGTTTCTTTTTCCTTTTCTTTTTGGTTTCGTGCGTGATAATTAACTGATCAAAGAAGATAATAAATAGTTAATTTTAATTTTATCTCCACCAACGTAAACAAGAATGTACCTCCAAAAAATATAAAATAATGATAGAATGAAGATTATGATAAAATAAACACATGTAGATCATAAATTAAAAAAATTACTAAAACTTTAATCATGATTTTTTACAATGGTTATAATTTTATACTTTATCTTATAAAATATATGTCTCGTTTTTCTTACTTTAAAATATTCAGATTACAAAAAAAAAAAACAAATATTCGACTATCTAACCTTTAATTGTTTTTGTTGCACATAATTTTATAGTTTTAATTTTGACATGTTATTATATAGTTTTTTTTTTTTTTTTTTTAATAACACTGCCAAGTCACGGGCTATCACTTTTTTAGAATTTTTTTTTAAGTAACTGTTGTTAGAGTTAACTTTTTTGTCCTTCACATATATTGTAAATATTCGACTAAATCTTCAAGGGAATGGGTGATCTTTCTTATAATTCTTAGTTTGTACTAACTCTGAATTTTTTCTAAGTTAATTTTTTTAAAATTTAATATTCTTTTTTTACAATACATTATATATATATATATATATATATATATATTTAAATTAGTAATACATTGATTGAAAAATATAATTAATGTCTTTGTCTTTTGAAAATATTTTCAAACTTTTTATTATATTTTTTCTCATTAATATCAGAGAGATAATCCATTATTACTTGAGAGGTGATATAAGGATATAATTGAGAAAATTAAAACAGTTTTTAAATAAACATATAAATGTGAATATTTTTAAATACAGGTAAAATAATAATAGTAATATTGAACAATTTTAATATATTAAATATATATTTTTCTTTATTTAATGCTGCCGGCCCTCGTTAGTATCCTCCTTTACCGTCAATCATTTATACTTCAATCAATATAAAATTTTTCTTAGTTTCTTATATTATTAACTATTTCATTCGTGGGCTTGAGCCGAGAAATAAACAAGGAAAATAAATGGGAATAAATATTTTATTTCAATGAATATTCTGATCGGTTAAAACCGTTGTTAGTACATTGAAGTGCTGCTAAAATTTACATTTGGGGACCATTATTTGATTTAAATATTCATCCTATGGAAAGCATACTTCGCACTTCAACTTCCTCGAAAGCAAAATCGGACCAAATATTTATCTGCCTTTTTATTGTGCTTGCAGTGTCTATACAAGCTTTATTATTCGGTGGCATCATAGCCCACATGCCCCTTCAATTGCAATTTACTTGTGCAGTAACATAAATAACAGTCATATTCCCAGCCTCGTCATGTCATACATAAATAATAGGGAAAACATTTATTGTCCTCTCAAAGAAGAAATTATATGTTTTTTAAAATGAGTGCTCCGACTTTATAAGAGTGAGACTTGATCAAGGACGAGTTTTAAAAATGATTCACAACCAAGATTGGAAGAAATATAGTCTCCTTTCTAAATGGTTACTATATACACGCAACACAATTTTGATAAAAGAAAAAAGATAAAGATGCAAAATTTGTCCAATAAATGTGACAAGAACCTTTCGAAGTTTCGTAATTAAAATATACGTAGCCATGGTAATTATTGAGTCAGACAAGGAAAAGATGAAAGGTTAAGTTTTTGCAAGCGTAACAACCTTGCGGAATTAGAAGAGATGCAGGACATTATGGTTGTGCTTAATTAGCGGAACTTTCCGAGAGCAAAGTAACACTTTTGATCTTTGCGAAGAGGGCAAGTGGTGGAGAGCAGAATTTTGAAGCGGAATCAGAACCTCTTCATGTGTACATGTCAGAGAAGGGGGTCATCTGTTCAGAAAATAAAAGAAGTGACGTGAAGGGTACGAAGAATAGACATGGAGTATGTCCCAAGTAAAAATATTGAATGATAATTCGTATGATTTTGGCAATAGATTAGGATGGACTCGTGTTGTAAGGAGCGAAGCGGTGAATACTGCATTGAATACATATACTTTTAACACAAATGAGATAGATAATTTTACGATCGGTTTTAATTTTTATTAAAAATTGTATTATATCATTAAATTCAATGCAAAATCGTTTTATGATAACTTCTTTTTTCACATGACCTGATTTCATCTATTGAAAGGGTGTATATTGCTTTGAACGAACTGCTAGCCATTTTTCTTTCTCTGCCATCATCCTCTACACGTCTAGTGTTTAAAATTTATGCTGCGATCGCTCTGTAATGCTAGTATAATTTTATCAAAAAGATATGATGTGCCCTTGTTAATGGAATTATGGTACAATTGATAATTTTTTACTTCTCATAAAAAATATCCAAGTTTACACACTCAGAGGCAATGTGGTTAAATTAACGCGCCTTAATTTTGCGATGATTTCGTAATGTGACATTTGGTAATATATAGCATTGCTTTTCATTAAAATAGTAACTTCTCGTGACCATACTACTATTTACACAACTTCCAAAGACAGGTTAAGGTAAATCGAAATCAACCTTGATAAGGTCGAAGAGATGATGTAAAGATAATCCGATCACTTGTTTTCCTAATTTAAATGGGAAGGGTACCATTAATGTGTAGATGATCGTTTGGACTTGGGAGAAGTTTCCCGGCTAAGTAGGTCGTTCAAGGCCATTCGGCCAAGTTAATGTCAAGTTGGATTGTTCCAATAGACATTTAATATCATTTACAAATTCAATTAATTTACCCAATTAAAATAAAAGTAAAATTAATGAACTGGGTAGATTGATTATTATTATTAAACCAATAGATTAAATTTACTTGTTAAGTTAAACTCAAGGAAGAATGTTTATTGTTCATTTTGATTACCAGTCTGGTCACAACAGTACATGCTCCAATAAAAATAATCTTCGGCCGTGTCTTGGTGGGTATAAATTTTTATCTGGGCTTTTGATCTTGCTAAAATTCCTTTCAGTTTTAAACGTGCTTTTACCATTTTAAATATTTGTTAATAATTTTAAAGTATTTAGTTTTTATTAAAATATATGCAAACTATATTTTTATCAAATAATTTTATTTTTTTATAAATATTGTTAAAAAATTCACTAACAGAGTCTTGTATTTTATACTTTTTGAATTTATTAATTTTCGATTAACGCTTGCAATATAGAACTCATTTTATTGAGTTCAAAATAATTAATACAAGCGATTAGAAATAAATCAATGTTTGAATAGTTTGCATAAAGTTATAAATTTTTATTCGTATGAGATTATTATAATGGAAAATTACTCTAAGGTCTAACTAACTTAAGTTGAGTTGAATAATATTTCTAGAGGGCATAACTCACACAATTGTTTTTATTTACAAAACTTGATTTTTAAGATATAACATCGATTTTAATACATAATTTATGAATATTAATTCTTGAACAAAAATATTTTTAAATAAAAGTGCTTTAAGTAATGAAAATGTTTTAAAATTCTTTTATCATGTCAAATAATTACTTTTTACATTATATATTTATTTTTAATTTAATATTAATTTAAAATTTAAATTACTCATAATTTATTTGAAATTTTATCTAACATAGTAGGATATTTAATATTAATAATTATAATATTTATTTTTAAATCTTATTAAATTAAAAATTAATCATATATATATTAAACTATTTATTTTAAAACAATTTAGTTTAATTTAATAATATCCGTACAGTATATGAGAAAGTTACTGGTTAATATATTAAGCTATAAGTTTAAAATCTATTTTAATAACGTTACAAAAAAAGTAATTATGACAAATAAAATTTGTTATTTGATTATTAGTGAGACACAATAATACCAATAATAATAGTATTATTTCACTAAATAAAGTTACTGTATAGATCTATATCATATACTTATTACTAATAAAATGTATAGATAAATTGTTTGTTACGAGATTGCTTTTAATATTTTTATTTTTTTTACCTCTCTTTACTTTATTTTATAAGACTAAAAATTACAATTTATTTTATTGGTGTCTAATAATTTTTTTTACATATAATTAAGTCACTTTAACTAAAGTTTTTATTTTTTATTTTATATTGTATCACATCAATATCTCTTCATACAAAATCGTTTCAAATTTGTTAATGTAATTACACATTTATTTTAATATTTTTATGTTCCATACTCTTAATTTTTTATTTTATTATTCCTTTAAATCTTATATTCACAATTATAGAAAGTAACGGTATAAAATAAAGTAAAAAGTTATAAAAGAGCATGGTAGATGAAACTAAAATATATAAAACCTTCAAATTTTGTTTAACTCTCTTAAAATAATTAAAATTGTTTCACCGTTATTTTAACGCTTTATTCTTTTACATTAAAACTTTTTAGCTTCGCTTACCCGTAATCCCAAAATACATTTTTAATTATATTGTGTTAAAATTTTCTTATTTTTCTCAATTATTTTTTAAAAAAATTTTAAATTAAATTTATTATTTTCCCCCAAATTTTAATTACTTCGTTCCAAAATTTTAAAGTTACTTCACTCCTATATATTAAATTTAAATTATTATTTTAAGAATGAATCTTTTAATATATTATCACTTAAAGCATGAAAAATTTTATTCATAACTTATATTCTAATAAATTTTAAGTTAATATTCACATAATTGATATGAATTTAAAACATATTTGGTCATAGGATGCTGTCAAGCATCAAAATTAGAAGCTGCATAAGAAAGGAAAAAGAAGAAAAAGGGGTGCAAGATGGAATCATACAAACCAACTGGCATGTGCCTTACTCTTTATCAAGTGGGGTAACTTATATCAGTATACCACCATGCTAAACCCCACTCTGTCTTTCTTTTGTGAGCCACCAAACTTCCTACTCCCTTTCATCCAAGTCCTTTCTTGAACATATTTAATCCAAAAAAATCACTTTATGTATAAATTTTCCATCCCAATTAGGCACCAACTTTGCATACTTTTATCATGTTCTCTAATGGAAGACAAGAGCAAAGAATATTTGAACAATATTAGTCACTTAATTACGCTCCATCTCAAGTCCAGTGAATCTCGGGAGAGATATACTTTGACGGTTCACTTTTTAAAACTGTGTTAAGTTGCTATTATTTGGGAAATGGTTTTAAATATTTGAAAGGGCTTACCAGTGCATATTATGATAATATTAGTCCGTTAAAACCAATGTGACAACCAAACTATCTGTGAAAAGTAAAAAACAATCGTTTTGTTATAGGCTACTCAAGAAGGCCAAAAAACAAGTCCCCTATGTAATTTTCTTGTAAGCAGCAAATTTTGCAGTGGGTCCTTGAGCATGCTAAGGAGGGCCAGCTTTCATCCTCAGTGATGGGAACCCTCACCTTGATCCCTTCCTTTTTTGTAGAAAGATCTTGTTCTCTTAATTATAATAATAATACCACGCTATAAGCGCTAGGAGCACCTACATGTTCTAAAACAGTGATTAAGAACCTAAAAGCAATTCTGTTTTACCCAATCCATGACCAATTTTTTTAAAAAATAAATTAGTTTGAGTAAGAGAAAGAGAGAGTGCGCATTTTTGGCTGTGTGGTTGGTTTTAAATTTTCATTTTTTTTAAAAAGATGTTATCATATTCTATTGACGTAGCTTGTCCTTTTTATAACGGTCGGATGATACGAGAAACGTGCCACACGGACGCCGTTATCCTCCCCCTTACTGGTCATTTTGCCGTCACTTATTTCCAACGCCCCGTAACGGTCTTGAAATTCAATTTCTATTTAACTTTTTTTATTTAATTTACTTTTTTCTAACTGCACCACCTCTTTTTCTTTCAGCTCCCGAAAGAGACACTCCCTCCTTCCCTTTCTTCACCACACTTCACGCTCTCTCTCTCTCTCTCTCGATAAGCAGATATATATACATTAACCATTAAGAATAAGAAATATCTTAAGCAATTGGTTGTGTGTGCAGTGTAGTCTTTGACTTGACGATTCCTCACGTGAAATTCCGTTTGAAACAGAACACACTAGAAGCCAAGGCCGGCACACTGTAAGTTCCGATTTCAATTCCATTACCGATTCTTCTTCATTCTCGATCCACACATTTCACTGTTCTTCTCATTTCCATCACGCACGGTTGGATCGCTCCGTATTTAGTAAAAACTACACTGAGAGAAGCGCTTCACTGATTAGGAATCGCTTGACTGATTTAGAAAGTGGTTGAGATTGGAACAGCAATGGAGGCTCAGCAGAGAAGAGTTGGAGGAGGATTGGTGCCGCTATCGCCATCCCAGACACCGCGTTCCAGCGATAAGCCAGTACGAGATCTGCGATCTGCGGATTCGAATTCCAATAGTCATAGCAAGTATGACAAAGACAAAGGCGTCAATGTGCAGGTTCTTGTGAGGTGTAGGTGAGTTTGACTCGTTCTAACTCGTCGCTGAGTCGATCATTGAGTTTGTTTATCACTCGGAAAGATCGGTGACTGGTTTATTGTCTTTGCCCAGGCCATTGAGTGAAGATGAAATGAGGCTGCATACGCCGGTCGTGATTTCGTGTAACGAAGGTAGAAGAGAAGTTTCAGCTGTCCAGAATATAGCCAACAAACAGATCGATAGAACCTTCGCATTTGACAAGGTTTTTCTGCCTTTTGCTTCTTATTTGGAGTTTTAGTCTATTCGAATTGCGTGATAAAATTGAAGATAATGTTCTTGTGAATTTAACTTAGGAATCGAATATCAGAGTTAGGAGAGAGAATATTATTTATCACGCAATCGGATTTCCAGAAGATGACAACATCATTTAGGAATTAAATTTTGAATTTGAAGTTCTTTAATTATGACATTATTTACAAACTGTCTTATGTCTTACTCGAATAACATTGTTCGGTGCTATTATCCTGATTTTGATTTATTTTGGCGTAGGTGTTTGGTCCCAACTCTCAACAGAAAGAACTGTACGATCAGGCAGTGTCTCCTATTGTGTATGAAGTGCTTGAGGGATATAATTGCACAATTTTTGCATATGGACAGACAGGAACGGGGAAGACGTACACAATGGAAGGAGGCGCAATAAAAAAGGTTGTTCGTTTCATTTGCTATACTCTTTGTGATGTGTTTCTCATTGCTTTGTATTAAAATCTGATTTTCTCTTTATTACTTGATTCTGTAGAATGGAGAATTTCCAAGTGATGCTGGTGTCATTCCAAGAGCTGTGAAACAGATTTTTGATATATTAGAAGCTCAGAATGCTGAGTATAGCATGAAAGTAACATTTTTAGAACTTTACAACGAGGAAATAACGGATCTTTTGGCACCTGAGGAGACTTCAAAATTTATAGATGATAAGTCTAAGAAACCTATTGCTCTAATGGAGGATGGAAAAGGGGGTGTTTTTGTCAGAGGATTAGAAGAAGAGATCGTTTGCACTGCAAATGAGATTTACAAGATATTGGAAAAAGGTTCTGCGAAAAGGCGTACAGCTGAGACTCTCTTGAACAAACAAAGCAGCCGTTCTCACTCCATATTTTCTATCACGATTCATATTAAGGAATGTACTCCAGAGGGTGAAGAAATGATTAAATGTGGAAAGCTAAATCTTGTGGACCTTGCGGGATCTGAGAATATTTCGCGTTCTGGTGCGAGAGAGGTACAAATGAGTGGATTTGAATTGGCGCATGCATTTAAATAGTATAATTTGGAATAGTATAAACCTGCTTGTTTTGCAATACGACTTGGCAGACACTTATTTAGCCTGACTGTGAGAGTATTGATATCGTAAAAATTTGTGTTAATTCCTCGACTATATTTCAGAAATTGAAACCCTTTGACCCTTGTCTAATTTGTCCATTTCACTGCTGGCATCATCTCCGCCTAGTTCTATAGCATTTATCTGAAGAAAAAAAAGAAAGAAAGAAAAACATAGCGTTGGAGCTTCACTAAGTAGAAAATACTTGCAGGGTAGAGCAAGGGAGGCTGGAGAGATAAATAAAAGCTTGCTTACACTTGGTCGAGTGATTAATGCTCTAGTTGAGCACTCAGGTCATGTACCATATAGGTATGAATATCTTCAACTTCTCTAGTTAAGTCTCATTATCATATTTTAGTTGTTTATGAAAATCTGGAGAATGATTTTACAATTAAGATATCTCTTATTTTATCAGGGATAGCAAATTAACCAGACTATTGAGGGATTCCTTGGGTGGTAAAACGAAAACGTGCATTATTGCTACAGTATCACCCTCAATTCACTGTCTGGAAGAAACTCTTAGTACCTTGGATTATGCACACCGTGCCAAAAATATCAAGAACAAGCCAGAGGTGACGTTTATAGTTGCTCCTTCTTTTTTTTCAAACTTTTGGCTTTTATCAGGCGCGGGAGCATTTCTAATAGTTTGAAATTGGTCATTTTTTCAGATTAATCAGAAAATGATGAAATCTGCAATGATTAAGGATTTGTATTCTGAAATTGACAGACTAAAGCAAGGTTATTTACTGTTCCCATATCAATGTAGTTTCTGTAACTCATTTTGTTTTCTCCTCCTTGCTCCTCTTCTCCAAATAGAGATAATAGTCTGCTGGTAAACATCTTTGTTCCTCCCCCTTTGACGGTCCAGTGCTGAAATGTAGTACTTTTTATTTACGTTACGCAGAGGTGTATGCAGCAAGAGAGAAGAATGGAATCTATATACCGCGTGATCGCTACCTTCACGAAGAAGCAGAGAAGAAGGTGTCCTATTAAGTGTTTAAATGTGAAAATAGAAATACTGTTGTAATTTTGGAAATAATTGATAATCTTAATTTTTTAATATGTTCTCTCTAGGCCATGACTGAAAAGATAGAACGCATGGAACTAGAAGCAGAATCAAAGGATAAGGTATATTTTATTATTAATTATTCCCATATTTATTCTGATTGCTTAGCTATTGAAACAAGGACTGGCCACGTGTGTAGCAACTGATGGAGCTTCAAGAACTCTACGATTCTCAGCAACTTTTGACTGTTGAATTAAGTGTTAAACTTGAAAAAACTGAGGTAAGAGTGGCTGTGCATAGTTCTTTCGTTCTGGACTTCTGGTCCGTTCAAGTATTAATTGTACTTCTGGCATCTGAATTCTCAGAAAAGTCTAGAAGAAACTGAGCAGTCATTGTTTGATCTTGAGGAAAGACACAAACAAGCAAATGCTACAATTAAGGAAAAGGAATTTTTGATATCAAATCTTCTAAAATCTGGTTAGTCGTGTGTAATCTTTGCCGTTTGTGTATTCCGTACTAAATTCTTTTTTCGGGTTGGTTGAAGTGTTCGTCTCATGCCTTTGGTGCGTACTTAAAGGTTCATGACTTCATGGTTGGTTGAATCATGAATGTAACGTGCAGTAAAATCATACTTCCTGTCTTTTATTTTTGAAAATATTTCATTCATTTCTCAGAGAAAGCACTTGTGGAGCGTGCAATTGAACTACGAGCAGAGCTCGAAAATGCGGTATCCGATGTGTCAAACCTCTTCTCTAAAATAGGTAACTATTATTCTCTATTGATTTTCTTTTGAGGCGTCAATTGGAGAAGTGCATGCACAGGAATAAAATTGCCCATAAACTGCCTTTTCTAATCTTTAGAGCGGAAGGATAAAATTGAAGAAGGAAATAGAATACTTATCCAGAAATTCCAGTCTCAGTTAGCTCAACAACTTGAAGTTTTGCACAAGACAGTGTCAGCATCGGTAATGCATCAAGAGCAGCAACTGAAGGACATGGAGGAAGATATGCAGTCTTTTGTATCAACGAAAGCAGAGGTGGGTTTGCAAATGATGCAATTATGTTTGTTTGTTAAACATCAATTTTCAGATTTACAAACTTCGTTTTTATATGCTTCTGAAGGCTACTGAAGATCTTAGAGTAAGGGTAGGAAAGTTGAAAAACATGTATGGTTCTGGTATTGAAGCTCTGGATAATTTAGCTGAGGAGCTTAAAGTAAATAACCAGCTAACTTATGAAGACTTGAAATCTGAAGTAGCCAAGCATTCATCTGCCTTGGAGGATGTAAGCGGTCTAATACCCTAAAAGTTGATTATTCTACTTAAGCCTGGTTGCTCTGTCTAACTTAATTTATGTGCTTCAGCTCTTTAAAGGAATCGCCTTAGAAGCTGATTCGTTGCTAAATGATCTCCAAAGTAGTCTCCACAAGCAAGAGGCCAATTTAACTGCCTATGCTCATCAACAACGCGAGGTTTGTCACTTTAAGTTTGTTGACCGAACTTATATTTCGAGATGCTGAAATTTCTGCTATTGCATGCAGGCACATGCCAGAGCAGTGGAGACTACCCGTGCAGTATCTAAAATAACAGTGAACTTCTTTGAGACAATAGACAGGCATGCATCCAGTCTGACACAAATTGTAGAAGAATCACAATTCGTTAATGATCAGAAATTGTGCGAACTTGAGAAGAAGTTTGAGGTGACTGGCAGCGCCTTTTCTGAGAATTACATAAATCATGATCGAAATTTTTTTTACACTCATTTTCTAAATGTGACTTCGATTTTTCTCATTCTTCAATTTTAATGGACGTAGGAGTGTACTGCTTATGAGGAAAAACAGCTACTGGAGAAAGTGGCAGAAATGCTAGCAAGTTCGAATGCCAGAAAGAAAAAACTGGTAACTACAGCTTTAAAACACGCTAATTTTACATGTAGTGTTCTCCATTCTTGAACTTAACATTCTTTCGTATTTTATTAGGTTCAAATGGCAGTTAATGATCTTCGAGAAAGTGCAAACTGTAGAACCAGTAAACTGCGGCAAGAAGCATTAACCATGCGGGATTCCACTTCTTCCGTCAAGGCAGAATGGAGAATTCACATGGAGAAAACAGAATCCAACTATCACGAGGACACTTCTGCTGTAGAATCTGGGAAGAAAGACCTTGTGGAGGTTCTTCAAATCTGGTATGTGAGCTAGGACAATGCATATTTTCTTTCCTGTCTATGGTATATAATCTCGTGTTTACTAATTCTTATACTGAAAAAACAATTGCAGCCTCAACAAAGCCAAAGTTGGTTCACAACAGTGGAGAAACGCTCAAGAGTCCTTGCTTAGTTTAGAGAAGAGAAATGCTGCTTCTGTTGATACTATTGTTAGGTAGGTTTTATATTCCCTAATAAGATAAAAAAAAGTCAGAAGACAAGCCATTATTATTATGTCAACCTATTTTATCATCGCTATATGGCCAGGGGAGGAATGGAAGCTAATCAAGCTCTACGCACTCGATTCTCAAGTGCTGTGTCAACTACACTTGAAGATGCAGGAATAGCAAACACGGATATTAACTCATCCATTGATCGTCAGTATTTAGTGTTATACCTGTGCAGCATTATTATTAGTTCATACCATGAATGTCAGCTGACAAATTAAAAAACACTTGCAGATTCGTTGCAACTTGATCATGAAGCTTGTGGAAATCTGAACTCTATGATTATCCCGTGCTGTGGTGATTTGAGAGAACTGAAGGGTGGCCATTACCACAGAATTGTAGAGATAACTGAAAATGCAGGGAATTGTCTTCTCAACGAATACATGGTAAGAAATAGACTTCTGGACCTCACGAATCAATTCTGTATAATTGCTCTACCCTGCATAATATCCTGTGACATACAGGTTGACGAACCATCTTGTTCAACTCCAAGAAAGAGACTCTTCAATTTGCCCAGTGTTTCATCCATAGAAGAACTAAGAACCCCATCATTTGAGGAACTGTTGAGGTCATTCTGGGATGCAAAATCTCCAAAACAAGCAAACGGAGATGTTAAGCATGCAGGGGCATATGAAGCCGCTCAATCAGTGAGAGATTCCAGAGTTCCTCTTACTGCCATTAACTAGAAACAGCCGAATTTTCTGTAAATAGCATATTGTTCAGATGTAATTCCATAAAATGATATATTCATTTATTTTATTTTATTTTTTTTGAAAATAGAGGAGAGAAGAAAAAGGGGCCAATCTTTATGGAGGCCGCCATGTGAAAGGGTTACCTACCCTTTTTTAGTTAGTTTCGCTTCTGCAAGGAAGTAACCTATATATTATTGATGTCAACTGGCATTAGTACGTACTACTTAATATGATTTTCGGATGTTTGTATTAAATCAGGGCATTCTAAACTAATATTTGCCGGATGAGGGTACATAGGAAACTTGAGAATTAAAGGTCTCGCTTCCATATTGAAGATGACGATGAAAAAAAGTATCCGTGAACTTTTTAATGTAGTAACGAGATATATTTCCGCGTATGGACCCGCAGTTCAGTACACATAATATAACTGGCCAAACCAACAAAGATGAGGAGCTCATTGAAACATTTCTTCTGCTCGTGCTCAATTAGACAAAAGAATTTGCTTTAGTGCTTGGCCTAAATCTGCGCTGGGGAGGATGCTTTGTCAGGAATAAGAGAAAGATGCCAAAACTCTAACCTACGGAAAGGGGGCTGGTACAGCCTGGTAACGGGGAGAAGTACTTCTCTTGGGTTTGGTACACTCATAATTGGGTCCCAGGTCAAGGCCGTCTGTTCTGTGTGCTCAAAGCTGTAGCTTCTAATTTGAAAAACATGTTACGAGAAAAAAAATAATTAGAAAAATTACAAAAGAAAGATTTTTTTAAACCCCGATAAACTCATCTTTGGTCATCCTTGTTTGGCTTGTGTGTTGTTGTTGTTTTTTTTTTTAATTATAAAAATATGATTTTTTTTTTAGTAAAATTACAGGAATAAGAAAAAATTTAAAAAATTATTGACCAAAAATCTTTAATGACAACTTTTTATACTTCTAGAATATTATTATTTTTAAAAAAAATTGACATTTACAATTTTTAATTTTTAAAATTTCTTTTGAAAGATTGTCACTGACAACACTTTATAACTTCAGTTTTTTTATCTCTAAATTTGAGTTTACACTAAAATTTACTAATAATAATTTTTAAATTTCATAATTTTGTATTTTTAAATATATATTGTTTATAAAAATCATATATAAAAAAAAATCCTCATTGTTTTCCCTCGGGTCTCTTTCTTTAATCTTGTCTACCAGTCGTTCATACCTAGAACTGTGTGACTCTTAAAATGTCATTTAGCAATTCTCCATCGCAACATGACAAGGAATCTGGAAGATTTACTCTTCTTTCACTATCATAGAGAGTAAACTTGTTAGTAATAGAGTCAATTAATATACTTATCCATAATTTATTATGTCTGGGATTCCCTTGCTTGCCAGTATCTCTATACCAAATGTAGACATCTTGAGATATATTTAATTTCAACTAATCATGTTTAATTTAAAAGAGACAAATAAATTAATATGAAATAGATAAATTTAAATTTGATACCACTTTGACAGTAAATTACAGCTTATATTGTATTTTTACTTAAACAAAAAAATAATTTTTGCTAAGTCTTAAAATTTGTAAAAAATATTTTTTGTTTGTCTTAAAATTTGCTTAAGTAAAATTTAAAAATTTTACTCAAGAAAACGATAAGTAAAATAGAGCATAAGAGGAGAGAGCGAAGGGGACTGGGAGTGGGAAGAGAGAGGGGAGAGCAAAGGGGGTTGGGTGGGGTGGAGGAAGAGAGCATGAGTGGATAAAGAGAGAATAGTAGTTGGGGGGGAGAAAGAGAGCAAAAAGACAAAAGGGGGGAGGGAAAGGATTGAAAGAAGAGGGAGAAGAAGGTTGAATTGCATGAGAGGAAGAAGGGCTGGTTGGAAGAGACAGAGAAGGGCTGAGAGAACGGGAAATAGGAATGAAAATAGGTTAGGCTAGACTGAATTTCATTCTAACATAATTATTGAGCTTAAATTTAGTCTATTATTTGATAAAAATTTTATTTTTAGCTTAGCTTAACTTGTGTGAGTGACTTGACCTAACCTAAATTTCTGATAATAAAGTCTGTTATAAAAAAATATCTCAATAAATCATCAAATTTAGACTAATAAAAAAGCTCAAATTAGTAAACACATAATAAATAAGTCTTCAATAGATCTTTATATTCAAAATTGTAAATCTTTATACCAATAACATAAAATACAAGACAAGTTAAAAAAATGTTATTATATATAATTTATTTAAAATTATATTATTTGCTACATGGTCCTGTTGTTGTTATTATTATTATTATTAAATTTTTTATTTTATTTTTTATCATTTTTTAATAAATTTTTAGTTTTGAATAAAATATAATTCATACTTAAGTAATTTTATTTATTATAAATAAAACATTATAACAATATATTAATATAATAATTAAATATTAATAATAATAAAATTAAGAATATGAAAAATATATTAATATAATATTATTAATTTATTTTTAAATTTTAATTCATTTAATTTTGATTGCATTCTTTTTTGGTTCAAAGACTTAATCACTCTTTATCTTATTTAAATGTAGTAAATATAATAATTTATTATTTAAATACTTGTATAAATATTTTTAATTTTAAATAAAATATAATTTTTATTTATTATAAAAAAAATATAACATAATATATTAATATAATAATTGTATATTAATAATAATAAAATTAAGAATACAAAAAAATTATTAATATAATATTATAAATTTACTTTTAAATTTTTTTCATTCAATTTTAATTGCATTTTATTCATGTTCAAATACTTACTTACTCTTTAGCTTATTTAAATATAGTAAATATAACAATTTATTATCAAATAAATTTATAATTTAAATACTTGTATAAATATTTTTAGTTTCGAATACAATATAATTTCTATGTATTATAAATAAAAAGAATTATAACATAATATATTAATATAATAATTAATTATTAACAATAAAATAATTAAGAATATGAAAAATATATATTAATATAATATTATTATTTCATTTTAAAATTTTAATTTGTTTAATTTTGATTACATCCTAATCCTATTCAAAAATTTAACTAATCTTTTATTTTTTCAAATGTAACAAATATAGTAATTTATTATTAAATAAAATTATTATTTAAACATGTGTCTAAATAATTATTAGTTAAAATTTTTCATGTACGATGTCCTGAAAATTTTTAAGGATACTACAAAATTTATCTTATTTTTAAAGGTACCTTAAAATATTTTTAGGAGTGTTGTACCTAAAAAATTTATACCAATAAATATGAAACATGTGGCAAGTTAAAACAAATATTATTATATATAATTCATTTAAAATTATATTATTTATATTATTTGTTACATGATCTTTTTATATATATATATATTTATTTATTTATTTATTTTTGTGTATATTGAATTTTTTATTTTATTTTTCTATCATTTTTTAATAAATTTTTAGTTTCAAATAAAATATAATTCATATTTAAGTAATTAATATTTATTATAAAAAAAATTAAAATATAATATATTAATATAATAATTAAATAATTGAATATTAATAATAATAAAATTTAAAATTTAAAAAATATATTAATATAATATTATTATTTTATTTTTAAATTTTTGTTTATTTAGTTTTAATTACATCATGTTCTTTTTTCGAGACTTAATTACTCTTTAAGTTGTTTAAATATAATAAATATAAAAATTTATTATTAAATAAATTTATTATTTAAAGTGGTGTATAAATATTTTTAGTTTTGAATAGAATATAATTCCTATTTATTATAAATAAAAAGAATTATAACATAATATATTAATATGATAATTAAATAATTAAATATTAATAATATTAAAATTAAAAATATAAAAAATATATTAATATAATATTATTATTTTATTTTTAAATTTCAATTTGTTTAATTTTAATTTCATCTTGATTTGGTTCAAAAACTTAATAGCTCTTTAATTTATTTAAATATAACAAATATAATAATTAATTATTAAATAAATTTATTATTTAAATACGTGTCTAAATATTATTGGTTTGAATATTTCATATATGGTACCTTGAAAATTTTTATGGGTACCACATGATTTACCTACTTTTAATATAGTAACCATACCATATTTAAAAATAAACTGAATCTATAATTATTGAAGGTCATTAAATAATATCAAAACATACAAGAATGATTAAATTTACTAAAATAATTATTAAATAATATTTTATAAAATGTTATTTTATAATTTAATTATTGTTTAGTTAAAAATATTTATTACTAATTCTTAATTAAAATCATAAATTATTAACATACCATATTAAATTAAAATAAAAAATTAACTAAATATAAAATTTAAATTTAATTTAATTTTATAATATTTATAATATAATTATATTTAATATTATTTTTATGATAAAATTTGAATATATTGAATAAATATTTTTTACTTTTAAAATTAATTTTTATATTTAAAATATAATTTTTAATTTTTTAAAATAAAATAATTTAATAATTATTATAAATAAATAATATAATAGTTATTAATTACTTTTAGAAATAGGTGTCTAATCCATCATTTTCTTTATATTGGGACTTGGAGTAAAAATTAACCTACTAATTATAAAGTTTTAAAAAAACCAAGACTACATAAAAGGTTAAGTGGAGTAAAACATAAGACTTTAATTCATTTTGATAATTTTATTTTTTAATATTAATAACATTATATATGTATATAGATCGACCTTAAAGTTTAACAAACTTTGTAATCAGTTTAAATTTCACTTATTTATTTAAACAGGCTTTAAAAAAAATTTAAACTTTATTTATTTATTAAAAGATCAGGCCATATTAGTCCTAAAGTAGGTCAAGTCATAAATCTTTGTCAGGCCGCTTAACTAGAAAGAAAACAGAAAAGAGAAGAATAGATAAAAGAAAAAGAGATTGAATGTATAAAGAATTAATATCCCTTAAATGAAAAATAAAACTTGTCAAGAACACATGATACATTCATAGTGAACACTATTTAAATAATTTGTTACATATTTTATAATATTAGTTTAATAAAAAAATACTTTCTCCTTCATTTTTAATATTTTCATAAAACATGTGTAATAATTTATTTAAATATTTCTAAATCAAGAAATTTAACAAAAAAATATTAAAAAAATTCAAAAAAATTCATTTATAATTGAGAGAGAACCGTTGGCAACCACTTTGGGGTTACCGCCTTCCTAACACAAAAGAAAAATTTATTGAAAAGTCGGAATGAAAATATCCAACACCTTTATACTTCTAAATGCGAATTAAAATAAGGGTCTTGCCAGTGTTAAATACATGTGTAGCTCCATGGGTCAGTTTGTCAAAGATCGTTCTCAAGACTACACCACCAAAGTAAGCACAAAAATATCAACCAGGCAATGAGTAATAATGTCTCGTGCTTTTCATCTGAGGGTAATTAATATTTTGTCCTGTTCATTTGGGTGAACAGACTTATTGGATGTTTTGACATCATGTCTTAATTGAGCGATATATACAGATAAAATAAGAATGTTGCGATGAAATACAACAACGCCACATTGAGCTCCTTGATCCAAAAGAGTATTATTAATGGGATGTAAAGCTGTTAAAACATCCAGCTAATCTAACCAAAGTGCACGATCTTCAACAAGATCACATTCTATTCTATTCTATTCTATTCTTTACGATCAAATCAATATACAAAGATACTGCGCCCGCATCTATGTACAAGCACAGCTACAACCAGGCAGACCGAACTCTCGAATGCAGAAGGACCAGAGTCTGCAGAAACAAGTATATCTTTGAATAAGTCACAAGTATTAATAGATGTTCCATTACTATAATTTCCTGACAAAATCAAGGCAGCAAAAGAGACATATCAATATCGATGAACAGAAAAACCAAGAAACTGTATTATTCAAATTTTAATTCTCAAAACCACCCAAGCCAAGCGGCTCTAGTGTCTCTCTTCTTTCTTTAAAATTATAAATATTACCATAAGCAAAATTGTTATGATAGTTCACAAACCACCAAACGTAAAGGAGCAATATGCAATCATAATAATGCCAAAATGGTGTGAAGAACTACCTGTACATCACAATAAGCTTGCACTTAGTATTTCAACAGGTCTTTCTCTCCCAAAGGACTCATCATCAAAATCTTCATTTGTTGAATTTTCTTGGCATAACTCTCGGGTGCGATTTACACCAAGAGCCTCCCAAGCCATTGAATTTCCATCACAAACATTGCCTTCTTCAGAAGAACGATTAACATCAACATTGTCCTCAGCATTTAGCCTTGTATCAGTAGACAAAAGTTCAATTCCCTTATCATCATCAATGCATGGTGGATCCACATTGAGATCTGAGCACAAATCATACCCGCTTTGCTCCCCAGTTCCATGACAAGCAACAGTTACTGTTCCTTGATCAGATGGATCGGTAGCATCTTTTTTCTGCCTCTTCCATTTCTTTGTGGATGAAGTGCCATCATCCTCAAAATCTTCCTCTTCTCTTTCTCTGTGTAAATAAACCCACAATTTCCTTTCCCCATCAAACTGTACACAAGGATCACGTTCATAATGCAATCTATCCAAGGCTCCACTAACTACTTGATTAATTTGTGCATCAGAAACATCTTCAACAATGTATTGAGAATCACGAATTAATGTGCAAACATCTGCTCTAGTGCCAATACTTCCAGGTAGCCTAGCTGCTGCATCTCTGACAAGACAAAGAATTGTAACATGTGGTGGACGATCACGTTTTAACATAAAATGGTCTCGGGCTTTCGATGTTGGCTTACCGCCACACCTTCTCAAAGGTGCCACGATAGATTTTTTACCATCAGCTGCAGTATAAGAGAATGCTCTGTCAGGAATTGAGTACCTGAGAACTTCCTCCTTGCGAAAATATGCCCTTACTTCCTCTGAACTTGGGCTTATGGTGTTAAGACTCTTTTGAGCCCTCAGGTCTCTAAACCTTTCCTTCTCATCAAGGTTGACTTGCATAGAGGATAAAGGAGGTGCAGGAAGACTTCCTATTTGTTGAAGCGTTTCCTGACCGCATTTCAACCAATTGGCAAAGGAATCAACCAACTTGACAAGCATCTTACGAGGAAGACCCCAAGCTTCAGGAGATGTCACCTCCTCAACGTTATCATGGTCAGATGAATTATGATTAACTGGCCCAGTCCAAGACCAACTTCTTGAAGTTTTTTCATAAACTGCTAGTACCTTCCAACCCTTTGCTCCAAGGGGTGCTGTTTTGGAAGAAAATAGCTTCAGAACACCTCTGACCAAATCCTGCAGTGGTTCTTGGGTCTCAAGAATAAAAGGATCACCAGGGTTTGATTTCACATGGTTAACGATCTCCTGAACAGTAAGAGATGGCATGTTCACTTGGTCAGCAGGCTCACAATTGGCAGGCATCTTATGGTTAGAAAGAGCCCCATTCACACCTCCTCCTTCCTGTACTTTGTTTTGCTCTTCTCTAGGTTTCCCCAATTCTAAACCGTCTTCTGCAAGTGGACTAATCATTGCAATGCGAACTGCAGAAAGAAGATGTATAATAGAAAATGAAAATCCAGTATGAACTGTAGGCGTGATCAAAGTAAATGTCTTTTTCTGCGGCTTGGTTTCCAGTTCTATATCTGCTGTCCCCATATCAGTAACATGCAGTTCAGAATTTTTCTTTTCTGAATTAATCATCCCAACATCTGTTTTTTTCTTTGACTTTCTTTTCACATAAGTTGAATCATCTGTCTGGGTGTTCAACAGAAGATTAACATCTTCATCTCTTCCACCAAGATCTGCTGCATCATCCTTCATTTTTCGCTTTTTCATTATTGAGTTGCAACCAAGCAATGATGCCTCCGATCTATCATTTTGATCACCCTTATATGTAGCATATATCTGCCCTTTTCTTCCATACCTACTTTGTCCAACTTCATTATCATCCACTAGCAACTGTCTTTCAAGTGAGTCATCTTCATCACCAGTATACTCATGCAAATATTTTGACCTCATAATGGAATGATCAAGGCCAGTCCTCCCTTTCTTCTTTCGCTCAGCAGTATATGCATTTGATGAGGGCATGTCTAACCTTTCTATGTGTTCTCGTATTTGACCATTTTTTCTGCCTTTCTTGTATACCTGTTTCCAATCATCATCACCAGCATTAAGCATATCTGATCCAGAGGGATAGCTCTCTTCAATAAATTTACCAGCCTGGTTATGCAAAGGACCACCATTGCGTATTTCACCCTTCTGTTTGGCTTTTGAAAGGTAATTTTCTACACCATGCTTACGCCCCTGCTCTGCAAAGCTACCTTTCTTTTTGGACTGTGTTAGTACACGTGATTTGAAATCTGTAACAAATTTGTCCTTCTTGGGATCTAGATAAGACTTCAATGATTTAGTGCGTGAACCAGTAGCTGTACCCATCAGATAAGGATATTTGCTCTGGAATAGAGGATTGTTATCCTCGTCATCATCCAACTGTTCAGATGAGTCTGATTCAGTTTCTTCACTTCTAAGAAGCATCTGGTTACTCCTCAAAGCCATTGTGTCTTTTCCTCCGTTCTTCATAAAAGGCCCTCTGATCTTCTCCTGCAATGACTTTGCTCTAAAGTCAGAGGATAGAAATCTTTCACTCACCTGTGGAGAGGAAGATCTATAAGCAGTGTAACTGAGATCAGGAGACTCTCTCCCTGCCTTCCACTTCTTGCCCTTTAGATTCCAATCATCATATCTACGTGAGGAATCCATACCAAATTCCTGTCCTGGTGTTTCGTTGCTGTAGAAAAGTTCATCACAATCTGCGGAATCAACTGTATTGACTTTAAGTGGTAACTGTGAACCCCTCAATCTAGACTTTACCTGATCACTACCTAAAAATTGTTGAACATTTTCAGGATGCCTAACCTTTCTAGGAAATTCATAGGAACCTCTCTTAGAAGATGGCTTTGTTGTGAACATTTTCATATCAGAAGATTGGTTTGAATTTCTAGAGTATCCATGTAGATCAGTCTTTGAAGACAGAGATAGACCCGTCAAATTGTCAGTATCTGTCCCATCGCCTCGTAGACGGTCATGCCTCTTTCCAAGTCTGCGAACACCAGACTTGTCCACAAGGTTGCTGCGTGGTAAATTGTGATCTTGGACACTTAGTCTATATGACATTTCCTCATCATTGTCACCATTCCATAGCTGATCCCTTAACCTGAGCATTGACCCTGAATCATATCCCACTGACTTTTTCTGTTGGGAAAGAGCACGTGCTGAACCATTAAGCCCAGGATTCATATCTGAAGCATGGTAAGAAGATGAGCGACCCGTTGGGTCCTTTACTGAAGGTGTCTTCGAACCAGCCAATTTGAGTATACCTTTTGGGTTTTGCTTCCCATACTGCTCTTGTTCCATAACCACTGATCGTCCTCTGGGCGGGAATTCTAGACCAGAACCCACCCCATGGAAAGGATAGCGACCCATTTTCTGTGCAATTTTCCTATCTTTGCTCTTCCTGCTCCATACACCTTCACCAGACTCTTCATCTGAAGAATCAGCTTCCAAATCTTCCATCTTCTCATACATCAAACTCTTTTGACTTCTCATAATGTTCAGTACACGGAGCCTTTCTTCAATACTGTACCCCCTACAGTTACGCCAAGCGTCCCTTATCTGACAAAGATTGCTAACCATGTTATTCTGATGCTTCCTCAACAGATGATAGTGTTGTCGCTTCTGGAAAAAATTCAAGCCCTCCCTGTAAAGAGCAACTCTGGGCTCACACAAGCCACCCTTCAGCATATCAAATAACTTCTTGATAGGACTCCCAAAATGGAGGTTACCACCAGTGAAAAGCGCTTGCAAGGTTTGAACAAAATTCTCTTGGTCCAGGTCAGGCAGATACTTGGCAAGTTCAAACCTCTCCTCCTCACTCAGACATTCGTTCCACACATCCACCGACAGTATATCTTCAAGCCCTGCAAGATCGTAGAGTTCCAAAGGAATGCTGCAAGTCTGATTCCCAATCCGACAAAATTCCGCCCCCGTCTCGCCCAATTCCAGTAAATCAAAATCATCAGACCCTGCCCCAGAATCAGCATCGTCAAACTCATCATCATCATCGGATTCTACGGCAGAGTTACGCCCCCGAAGCTCCTCTTCGTCACTAGACATAGTTTCTCCACTTCGGGGAGAACACTCGGAATCAGGCCTCAACACCTTAAAGTTGTTTTTCTCAATTGCCATGAATCATAACACCAAACTGCCGCCAAAAACGCGTTCAGGGACCCAATTTAAAAAATTTGAACCCCGCACGAACAAATCTCAATCAAAACCCTAACAAACGCAACACCACCAATTAAAAAATATATAAAAATAAAATCTAACCAATCTCAACTTATTAAAAACAACGACAATAATCAAACCGCGAACACAATTCAGAAAACCGAATTTTGAAAAAAAAATCTGAGAAACATAAGAAAGTATCGGAATAGGGGAGATTCGGGCGTGAAATACCTTAAACGCAAGAGAAGAGACGCGGAAGATGAAATTGAGGAACGAAGGAGGAAGTGGAAAGAGACATGAAATGTTGGAGACGATGGATGATTGTGCAGTGCGGTGGAGAATGGCTTTAGGAAACCCTAAAGAAATGAAAACGTTGTTGTTATATAGTGAGAGAAGGGAGAGACAGAAAGGAGGGTGGAGAGGGTATGAAGAAGACGAAGGTGACGTGGATGGAGAGGGACCGTGTGATTGGGAGTGTGATGGGAATGTGAAAAGACCAAAAGGTCCACCGCACCAAACAGGGATGAATGCAACGCAATGCAGAGAGAAGAAGCGAAACAAAAGTGAGAAAAAAAGGGTTTGGTTTCGGTGTTAGAGAGAGAAAGGGAAGACGAGAGAGAAGGTGAGTCAGACTGAGCGAGCCAACGAGCGAGCGAGGCAAGTGAGTCATGAAAAACCGTTGTGAGTTGCTAATCCATCGTTGGCCCATGCGGCTCCAGTTCTCACCGTTGGATCTAACGTCAGATCCAGATTGACCGCTATCCGACGTCGTTTACACTCCTTCTTATAAGACTCGATTAAAATTTAGAACTGCAAAATGCTGCACCGTTAGCGTTGCAGTGCGGTGGGAAGTCAATAAGGTTTATTTTCTTCCTTCTCCAAAGTATATTCTAATGTTTTACGTCCTTCAGAATAAATCCACTTTAATATTTTTAAACAAAATAATATCATTTATAATATAAAATAGATTAAAAAATTATTTTGCATTTCTATAATATACACACAAACTTGTATACGAATTACAAGTACTGTAATTAATTTCCATCTCTTTCCCTTTTTTTTCTAAATTTATTATTCATTCAATAAATAATACCATGTTTCTTCGCCCTTTTCTCGTGCGAAATTTCTTTGTATCATTTGACAGAGCTGTTTAAGAAATACGGTACTATTTTTGATTTGTTAATTTCAACTCTTTTGAGAGATGAGTTTAAATATGTAAATGTATAAAGTTTTTATTCGAATAAAACATATTTATCATATTAAAATTATAAAATATAATAAATACTTTTTTAAATAAATTTTTATTATTATTAGTTGCTTAAATTTAGTTTTAAAGTTTAAAATTAATATTTTTTATCCTATAAACAAGGACAAAGATAATAATACTTATATCTTTAAAATATTAAAATATATTATAAATGCTAATAATATTTTATTTAACTAATCTTTTTAACATATTATTAATTAAAATTAATTAAAAATTATAAAAATATATGAATCTCAAATTTAATTTAATAAATTTTTACATTTTTATAGTTTTTAACAAATTTTAAAATAAACAATATTTGACTACAATACTATAGGTACTATTTTTTAATTTAGAATTTGAATCACATTGGTAATATAACATTTAATACTGTAATTTTATATTATCAAGTTAAAATTTTCATTTTAAAATAACATTAACAATACTTATGAAAGTACATCTAAATTTTGTTTTTTTTTAAATAATTAAAAGTATGTTAACAAATATATTAGCTAGTATATTTCTAAAACTTCTCAAAATACATTTTACACAAAATTTTATAATTAACCTTCTCACTTATTGATTTATTTATCTGTTCTACCTGGTACAGAGAGAGAGAGATAATTAAACATTTGATAAAATTTGTGACAGTTTATAAGTCATTTAAAAATTGGGTTATTGCTCTAGCATATGTTTTCAATAAAATTAGAAGAAAAAAACAATCATAAGATCAAAGAACAAGAGAACAAACCGGCAATGATCATGGGAGTTATGTGAATTATAATATCGTCTTCTCTTTTATTTGAATATAATCTCATTTTTAAGATGTTAATATGCCTTATACTTTTAATGCAAATGAGTTTGTCTTAGTAATTAGTAACGATAAATGAATCTTTTAAAGGTATTTTTTTTAATATTAATAGAGGAGATGATACTTTGAACAACTGTTAACTTTGAGACCTCCAAAGAGAATTTCCATTATATCTTTTAAATTATCGAAGTTTATAATAGGAAATCCGAACTAGTAACAAATAATGCTAAAAGGAAAAAAAAACTCTATATACAATGATAATTAAAAAACTAAAGTGTACATGCATTAATCTCTCAAAAATAAAGGAAAAAAGCAAAAAATAAAATAAAATGCAATCTAAATGTTTCTCAAATGAAAAAAAAAAGAAAAGAATATTCCTTTTTTGGTGACACTAACATCGACTCAAAATATAGTTTATTTAGCATAGATAATAAAAAATATTAGTAAATGGAAGATGTCACAACAGTCTTATAATTGTTTTAGTTTTAAATAAACTATATACCTATTTTTTAAGACTATGAATTTATAACATGATGAATCTAAATTCTGGTGAAATATATTTTCTCTTAATTGTTAATTAATATTGTTTTTTTAAACATTTTTTTATAAAAATACTTGTAATTAATGGTATTCTTTCTTTTGCTTTTATTTTTCTTGATCTGTCCGAGTGTGAAACAGATAAGAATAAAAGATATACAAGTACGACAACTACAATAATAATAAGAAAAGAGAGAAAATCTAGAAAACGAGAAGTGCCTTAATCATCATTTTCAATATGGTAAGTTCAGACAGGGCTCTTCGCCCAATTGGGGCCACGTCAAAAAACGGAAACGGGAAAGTTTAAGAAAAACGTAAATCCGAATAAATTAAAGCACGGAAAAGCAGAAGTGGATATGTTTAAGGTAAACTTACGACAAGTGGCAATTGTTGCTCTAACTCGATTTCCACAAATAGAATAGTAATTTTGTTTCTTAAGTAACAGGTGATTAGAAGAATTCATAACACAAATTGTTGTCCTATCCATAGTTACATACATATATGTGAAAGGTGCATGTATGTAATACAAAACTAATATTTGGATTTTCAGAATCCAATAGAAACTTGAATTAAGTGAAACCAGTTAAATGAAGTCAATATAGTTTCTATAAAGGCCATGTTAAATAATCGTACGGACCAAAACAAAAAGAAGAAGATCCTTCTTGCGATTGAGCTTAACACCCTTATCCATAACCTTCACGGCAAAATAATGAGCAGTTCCACTTCCATGTGCGTAGCTCCAACATATGTACGCTGCAAGCCTATAATATATGATAATAATATCATCACCACGAGAGCTTGCTTTGGAAAATGATGAAGCAGAAAGAAAAAATCAATAAATCAATAAAGAAATTATAATTAAGATCTTAAAATCTTGAGCTCATTAGAATAGTAAGTTAACTTGAGAGACAAATTCATCCTTAAGGCTAGAATTAACAGTAGAAGCGAAAACTTCAATTAGTATGTCAGTCGTAGATGATTATGATAGTCGTACAATTAATTTAAACCCCCCCCCCCCCTTCATGCAACTGTCAAATAGGGGTAATGTAATAGAGAAAGGGGGGAGAAAAAGACCTGCCAATATCTCCCGACTACAAGGAATTAATTAAGGTTTAATTGGCCTAAAGTGACTTTAAGCCTATCGGTTCTGCACTTTCTAGGACCTGCAAAACCAAGGTCAAAGAATAATTTGCAAAATAACATAAATTCAACAAGACATTACACGGAAAATTCAAAATACTTACTATCCTATGAAATACAGAAGGAACTATAGTGGTTTCAGGTTATGTTTTTTATAAATAAACAATATTTGATATAATATATAATTTAAGAAAAAATTATGATCACTACCCACTTCCCAGAAATCTAAAGAACTGCGGAAAGGTTAAAAAAACAAAAGATAATTTAGCACAACTGAAATGAACCATGAAGTTTATAATAGCATAGCTGTACAGTGTAAAAGGAATTCCTAATTCTTTAGGCGGATAATAAAAATAAAAAGAAATCAAGTAAACATGACATATAACATACTCTCAAATACGAAAGTAATACCATCGACGGGATAGCTCCTCCAGGTAGCGTCATCCTTCCTATGAGGTTTGGGTGAAATACTTTTGAATGATTCACCATAATATCTGGTTTCTGAAGGTGACTATTGAAGTCAAAACTCTTTAGAAGACAAAGATAACCAGTAGTAGATGTTAACCAGATTAGCATCCGGAAGTTCCTTCCCAGCCTCACGACAATTTCTGCAGTTTGTTTGACTTGCTGATGGATTTCAAATGGACTTGTTTTAAATCTGGGAAATACAAAACCTAATAGCAAGTGGAGTAAAAATTGCAACATTATTGATCCAAACGTTGTTAATGTATTCATGAAAAACATTAAGAGGTAAGAGTATTTTGTATTTCTTTAAATAAACTAATTCGTGCGATATTGAATATCAAACATTTCCTATCATTTCAAACTCAATTACATATTTCGTACCCCTATATATGAGATATGCATTTGATGCTTACTTCCAATCTATAAGAAATTAGCTAATGAAAGTGGTTTTCCCCGCAGAAAATCGAACAAGCTTACCACTCTTTTTAACTAATGAGTTGCACAGTAACTGTTTGCTTGTCAATTGCCTCTCTAATTTCCTCTCTAATTTTTCTCACAGTAGGTAAATCATTTTGGAGCTTGCAGACACCTACATAGCCAAATAGCACACATGAGGCAAATACACAAAATTTTGATATTATACAAGACAACTCCGTGACATTTCCAGGTACATTAATCGCTTGAAATTTTCATAAATTTAAATTTGTATCACTAGGTTCCACTAGCATTAGTATACTGGCCCTCTAATAATTTTACTTCAGTTCAGTTTCCTGTTTTTTTCGGTCATTTTGCTACATTCATATATCTTCTGCAATGACTAGGCTCCTTATTTTTGGAAATTTTTGGTTGGTCTCCACGGGGAGCATTTAAAATGCAATTAAAGAAGCCTGAGGTAAAGTTGGAGGCAAACTATTTCAATAATTAAGTCAAATTAAAAAAAAAAATTTCAGCTTGATTCTTGAAGATGTTATATGTGAGTCAAGTGTTTTGATATTTATTTTATGCTGATGATATTCAACTTAAAGCAAACTGCATACCTGCAATTTCTTCCCAATATTTCTTCACGACTAAATTCTATATGCTCTAAGAAACTATCATATGCAAAGATCTGAAAAAGCAAAAACCAACTACAAACTTTACCGTGTTACATAATACATATTACCTTCAGTCCAAGAAAAAACACATAAGGGAAACATTTTTTTACTGTGACATAAATGATTTAAAGATTCTTACTATAGGATTGTCATGAAGCCTTGGAACGTATTTGTCAATATATGCTCAAGTGTAGTAGCAAGATCTAGACCCTTTCACTTTTCCTTCTGCTTTTCTTCGTCATAGAATTCAAAACTACTGGACCTTTCATCATCATCATCATCACTTTCAGAGCTGAGGTCATCAACAACTTAATTATTGATGCCTTCATCATTGGACTGACTTTTCCTGA